CTTGTTATTAACAAATGGTTTAGGGTATGCAGGAACAAAAATATAAAGCTCTTCGTAATTAAATGGCTCGAATTAAAATGTCGACAAAGAAAGTGAAACGTCATTCGAGTACTAGTGTATCCCTTTAACACTGATCCACTCCTGTCTAGTAGAATTAATCCAAATCCTTATAAACTTAGGACTATTTTAGCTCCAGTCTATCGTTTAATTTCAACAACATGAAAGTGAATATAATTATAAGAGCTTTTTTTATTAATTTTCGAACAAATTCAGTTTAATTATAGGCATTACATTCAAATCGGCGTTACTGTTTAATTTGTTCATGCTAAGATTTCAGCGAGTCATCACTACATTGAATTCTGAATATAAATGGTAGCTGTTTAAAATCAATACTAGCATGATAATATTTCTCCCAAATCGACGAGAATTAAGGTGTTGTATTAAGCCGCATTAGACTGGTTTTGATGAGTCAAATGGATTCTAGATTATTGGCTGGAGGGACACACTATTTACTTACAAAGTATTTCGTACTCAATAGTCATCAATGTTCAAATGTCGCGACAGGAAATTGCTGCTATGAAAAAAATACTACTATCCATATGGAATATATATCAACATGCGACAAATGAGGAAAAACTAACCAATTTAATGACACGTTTTTCAAAATAGTCACGTTGATTAAAATAGATATAGTACAGTCGAACATCGATATCTCGAAGCCGGTCGGACCATTGGAAAACTTATCCTATTATTAGATTTAAATCATATAGAATGTTTAGTGTTCAGACTGGCCGGGATCGACAAATGTTCGAGATAATGAGATTTTAATTATTATTTTTTTTTTTTTCAAAGAAAAAAAAAAAAAAAGTTATCTGACCTTGGCCATTTTGACGTCATACAATAATTAGGACATGGAAGTTTGCAGTATTGATTTGCAATTTAATGCGTCAATCTCGTGACATCAATCACGATATGATGTTCCGTTATATACAAGACAGAATTTTCTATCGGAGTTATTTCATGATTATTGGACACAGTAGTCTACGAAACCATTCGATAAAATGATTATAGAAGGATAAGAAAAATTGAATTCAAAATATGTATATGTTCGCATTAAAAGATAATTAAAAATCAAACAATAGAAAATGTATGTTAATATCAAAATACTTTGAAAATTGAAAACATCATTAATAAAAATATCGGAATGAATGCATATTGTTTCGTTTTATTTTAATTTTGTTTTATTATTTTTTCGAGTAACGAAATTACAGTTACTACAATTGACGGAAAAAGAATAGATATTTAAGTTCGTAAAACTTTACAAAGTTAACTCCGAACTTTTTTGCGTGAAAATCGTTCTTTTTACGAATTTTTATATAATATGAAGTATTTAGATATAAACACGGTTAAAAAGTAAAACTAATGCCTAATATATATTATTATATAAAACATTGACTGTTATTGCACAAGTAAAGAGATTGAGTAAGACAGTGATAGGCTTGTTTTACTATTATCCCGCACAGTTTCCGGAATCATGTCCTTTATATTAGAATACCATTATCGTTCCCGATTAATGGAAAACAAAACAAAAGTATATTACTTATTATCATTTTTGATTAAATTATTATACTTCAAACGGAATGTAATATCGAGCCTTATGTTTAACATTTATTGTATATTTGCCATGGAACCATGTTCTGGAATCCCGTTTTCCGAATTTCTAATGCATCACCATGATGATTTGAAAGTTTTCAGGTATATAATCACAATTCAGATTCTGATTATAAAAGGACAGACTCCAGTAACTGTTGGAAAGATAGATATATTATATTTCTTATCAGTCGTTAAATAGAAAAGGACATGAACGGCTTTATAGATGATCGAATAACGACAGACTATCGCTTGTATGGAAACTACAGTCCAGTGTCTTCATATCATATTTTATGTAAAAATATTATAAACTTAAAGAATATTATTAAAATGTAAAAATAAAAGTTCACAGCTAAATCAAATAGCCGATTGTTTAAAAAGAACACGTATTGATAATCAAGTAGGATATGATTGATACGTCTTATCGATATAGTCTTTATTCTTAACAAAATCCTGCCTTTTCTTAACTTAATATAAAAGGTAGTCGTTTATAAAATTCAAATACGGTCTTTATGTGAAGTGAGAAGAATGGTTACATGAAGAAACTAAATATGTCGTGTGTTGACGTAGAGAGAGAGAGAGAGAGAGAGAGAGAGAGAGAGAGAGAGAGAGAGAGAGAGAGAGAGAGAGAGAGAGAGAGAGAGAGAGAGAGAGAGAGGGGAGGAGGAGGAGAAAACACATTGATGAAGCAAATAACCAAAGATGAAAAGTGTGCAACATGTTTGAGTCGATATAACATCTAAGGGATATATATGTCTTGACAATATAACAAACCCACACCAATTATACCTACTACAATGCATCATAAACATTTTAATACCTCGTTATCTCGAAGTCGGTGGGACCTTGGGAAAACTTCGATTTATCCAATTATTATATTTGAAAGATGTAAACTGTTTAGTGTAATGTTGGAATTATACATGGTCTTCGAGTTAAGAGTTCGAGATAACGAGGTTTCATTGTACATATATTACATAATTACGATAAGTTAATTAACCAAAGCGTGATACAGCACGCTTCCTTGTGTTATTACGCCGAATTTTGAGATCGGCAACACCGATCTAATGCTAACGCAAAAAAGGCTAGGGTTAATTTTCATGTCTATACACATTACGCAGTATTTCGTCAGTATATGACTTTTGTATCATAAAAATCTATCAAATAGTTAAATGTTAAAAAAACAACAATGGTAGACATAAAGCAGTGTTATTCGGTAGATTGTGTACAATACTGTTATAGAAAATAGTTAAGGCTAACAAGAGTTTATTTCTAAGGCTCTCACCTTAACGGGCACCTGTTTCTTCACATCGAGATATTAGTGTAAAATTGTGTATTTTTTACGAAAATCTTAATAGATTTCTTATCCATATCCTCACATTCTAAAAAAAACAAACAAAAAAAAAACGAGAATCCGTACTCTGTCTTCGACCATGGACGTTTAAGTTAGGCTTCATGATAAAAAGTTTCACCATTTACTTTATCATTTCGTCATATTTTGAAACTTGTTTCTGGATGGTTTCATGGGATCAAAGGTTACTCGAAATAATGTCATTCTCGAGGTGTTTTATAAGATAAACCCTCGGAAAATTGACACCTTTAAAATATAATTTTTAAAGAAAAAAAAAAGTTCATTTTAAGGATTCTGTGAAAGATATACCCATCTGATATCAAGCATCTGGTCAAATCGTGAACATTGGAATTATCAAAAAACAAGTTTTACAACAGTCATAGTAGTGAAATCGAATATGGAAAATGGCAAAATAAAAACAGATTGTTTTTCGTAAAGAAAATTAAATTCACACAAGAAGAAACAAGTGCCCGATAAATCACATTACTTTGAAATTCGGTAGATCATATCATAAAAAAGGTTTAATACACATAAAAGATATATATACATATATTGACGATACATGGAATAATTGTAATGAAATAAAACAGAGAATTGCCATGTTGTCACGTAAAGCGACCAATGGCAAAGCCCCCTCCAAACAGCAATATTTTGCTTTGATTCAGTGAAAATAACTTTTGCTGAATCCATGTCTAAATGTTTGCTGTATAAGGCAGACATATTTAGACCTTCTTTGGAGATATCCATGATTTAAGTTGTCTGCAATTTCCGCTTACTTGCAAAGTGAATTCTAATTTCTACATTACATTTCTATTGAATAAAACCATGTGTATTACGTAATACCTGAATTAGTAATGCCTAACCAATGTTAAAGATTCCAAATCGTATAAATTTACATGTCATCTTTTACATTTAACTTTGTCTCAAACTCGGTGTATTTTAGTGTATACAAATACAATATCATATGACAAGCATAGTTTACGTATTTCTCTATTTTTATTTCCAAATCAATAACAATGTTCTCTAGGTAGGGTTGTGATTCTACGGCAAAATTCATTACATACCGTGATATTAATTTCCCGTTTAGAACATTCATTATAAACTCTTATCCTTATTCAACTTTCCCTCGCGAATTCAATTTCAACAGAAAACAGTAATTATCAAAACGTTTCAAATATTAACAGTTAAGAACAAACAATAATTTTACTTAATTTTACTTGGTACATGAAGGGCTGTCCACTTTTTCTCTTATACCAGTCTGAGGACAACCATACAAGGAGACAGATGACGTCGTAGTGACGTAACATACGTATATAGGGATATGTAAATATGATTCGGTAGATTTGAAAAAACAAAATGCTGATTGTACGACAAAGACAATAAGCCAATTCAACATCAATTAAGTCTTATTCAAACCAGCAAACGCAATACTGAACATTGTCCGAACATAGTAATGTTCAGTTCTGCTGACCACGACACCAATCAGTACCAACCAAGCCCTCTATGTCAGCTGGTGTACATAGCAGACACGTTTGGTCCTATAGAACAGTTTCTTTGTAACATTCAAATCGGTAATCCGATCAATAATGATACCCGCCCTCCTCATGAACGGCTGGTGGTAAATGAATGCTCCCCTTATAACGCAAATACGATGCAGTCCATATAGCCTTTTTCTAGTATTGCCTCCCATCTCACAATACTCATTTCGGTAGTTACATAATACAAAATAGCTGATAATTACTGAAGAATAAATGATTACAATGCTCAATACGATTAAACATTTATGCTGATATAATATATCCAGGTATTATTCTGCCTGTTCTACTCGGCTATAGGACATATTCATAAGCAGGTTTTGCCTACAATATGTACCCTACATAGGCCGGACGGACAGTCCGTCCTCTGTCGGTCCGCTATCGGAGCGTGCGTGACTGGGCCTGTCACGTGGGTTCAGAGCGTCAAGAACATCAGTAGTATGTGCTGACGTCATTTCCTATCTGATTTAACCCTGTGATATAACAGGCGGTCCAGTCCGGCGCGGCAAAAGCTTGACGAACACGCCATGACGTGGCGCCAGCATTGGTCGAAGAACAGATGGCAGAGGGTCCTGAAAGGTAAAAGGTGGTGACTGGTTAGGTATATCAGGGCCATAAAGCAGCTAAAATAAAATTGTTATCATCAACGGGATTATACTGCAAAATACACTTGAGATAACACCGCCAACAACACAAAATTTAGGAGACAAGATCTAATGCGGCCAACAAAAATGTTAAAATATTCGTTTTTAAAGTGAACTTTTCTCTTATTTCAATAAATTTCAAATATCTTATATAGCCATCTTATCTTTCGTTATTTGACAATGCTTGATTATGAAATGGATGTGTCAATATATCAGAGAACATGTCGAATTAAGTCTGTTTATCTTTGGCAATGATTTAGTACAATTATACTTCTGTGTTTTAGTCATAGGTATTTGGAATGGTCCCTGATTTTTAAAGAATGAATTGACTTACATGCAATGGCATTTTAGTGTTTCTTTAGTGTAAGTATTTAACGAAAACTGATGTTTTTGTTGAAAGTGGTACTAAAATAATAGTTTTGTTTACCTCTGTTTTGCTGCATGGAACGATGACGTATTTCTGCAGAATTTTCACCAGGGCTAGTTTTACGAGAATAATACCATACTTCATGCCTACACAGATCCTTGGCCCCTGACCAAAGGGGATAAACGTATAGGGGTGCCTTTCCTTTCTGGCGGCGCTGCTGAACCTGCAATGTAATTAATCACAAGTTTGTAATATGCAATTATGTTACATAAATAATGTTTAAATTGTGTGTTTTGCTGGTTTTATTGCCCCGTGAACATCAGGAATCAGATGAGACGGGTTCTCCTCTTAGTGTGTATGCAATCCACAGCAAGTAGGGTAAATTTCTTGCCGAAGGCCACAACCACTATAATACAGGCTATTAAATTTATCAACTTTCTGTGAAACACATAGTTCGACTGAGGAGCGTCAAATGGTGAACGACAAAAAAGAAAAGCAGAACGGAAGATATTTGTAAGATATGAGTGCCCACGCAAAGCAAAACCTGATTTGATGTATGACTAGAGGTCATAATACTATGGGGTAATATTAACCAAATCTGGTGAGAGGTTGTCACGATATGACGTCGTGACGGGATTAAAAGTGATGTGACACGCCGGAACAGGACGGATGGAAAATGCCCATCCATAAAATAGGGATAGGGAAGAGGGCATGGAAAACATAACATTTCAAGCTGTATATGTTATCGGTTTGATTGGTGAGTACTTATTTTGCATCATGACAAAATGGCACCATCTTAAACGAGGCCAACTAAGGGGCAGTTTTTACAGTTCCATTTTAATGTAATATTATGTCACAGGTCCACTGGCCTTGACTTTCCTAATACATGGTGACGGATGTTTTACTAGAAATCCCATTTTACGCTTCACGTTAAGCGTGGTACATCAAATACCAGGTGGTATCCACTTGTGTGTCTGTAACCTTCACCGCATGTTCTATTGATGGCGAAAATTGATTGGATGTCAAGAAGAGGGCTCCATTTAGAGCACAGAAAATGTCGATGAAGAAGAAAGGGCAAAGATACCGATTTTAATTATCTCTCATAATAATGTAATGGGACAACAAGAACAATTCTTATGACCTAGATTAACTGAACAGTTTCATGTTCTCAAGTTATGGAGAGGTGTATATGAGGGAATGTTTACTGTATGTAGGTACTTTTAAACTGGAAACGAGATAAGCTTAATTCTAAAAGGATACACTAATACATCTGGTGAACTAAACGTGTACTTTTACTTATATACAAGATATTCTATTAATAGAACCAAACTTTGTTTGCACTTTATGTAATTATTGTATAGTGTACGTGCTAATTTGCAAAAACGATCGACCGAAATTCTACCTGACTATACTAATGTGTGTAGTGGATGTTGCAAATCAGCAAATAAGTGAGTTCCCGATAACATTGTCTATCGTATCTTATGAATTCACGTGTATCTCACGTGCAGTCTTTGATAAAAAGGACTTTCGTGTTTGTAAACGAAATGATAACGTCTGCGTTAGAAAGCTATGCACTTTTCTTGATAATAAGATAATAAGGAAGTTCTTTTATCATTTATTTACAGACAGTCTTCAAACAAACTCCGAACCAGAGGGTCAATCCCGGCCATGTTACTATTAGAATGGTACTAAAGACAAGCATGAGAATAGCACCTTGCAATACACATTTAGAAATCGGTACAGTAGGGCCGAATTATGAAGTTAACTGTATCATACAGCTGTTTCATTTTTCTTGGACTTGTCAATGATGCTAAGGATCTTCGTATCTTGAAATATGCTTATGTAGATTTGAGCTAAATATCCATGACTGAGAATTTTGATTGCTTTTTTGTTGCTGTTTTGTTTTCTTTTAATTTTTTTCCGTTCTTTTTTCGAAAAGCTAATCAAACCTCCTTGAAATAAATTCGTTTGAATATTATCGTTTTGTTTTCCGTTTGTGTAATTTAGTTCGAAAAATTAGTTTCTTTACACCTGAATAATTCTCTATTCCCTTTACAGTACATGCGGGGATAACATTAAATGAATTCAGCCACGCAGAACCTAGAATGTAAATTCTTTGTAGAATTACTCTATGCATTGTTGCTTAAACTTAATGCGTTGTTACCGAAATATATAGTATATTATGATAGTTTTGTAAATACTTTGACCACCAAACTGTGAAAACTTGACAATTTTGGGTACCTCAAATATCCATTATAAAAAGGGACATTCTCTAAAAATAGCCTATAAATCCTCATTTAATCCAGCAACATGCGCTTTTCCGTGACAGCATCGATGAACAGAAGTGTGATGTGCGTGGTCGCTTTAATATGCATGTATATCTATCTCCTTCCAGAGACAGCAATATTATACAATTGAAGCCTGATGTCGCTGTTTTTAAAAACTGTGATAAATACAAAATGTATCTGGGTCGTACATTAGATAGACAAATAAAGCACGACGTCGTTATTTAGCAATTTTTAATTACATCCGGCTCTTTTCAAGGATAGGAGTCTTCTGCCAATTAAGCATGGGGTCGCTAATTTCAACCGTCAGAATGTGATAAATGACTGAAACTGACCTTTCAGGCATAAACTTTTGAGGCTGTGGAAAGTATTCTTCGTCCTCGTACAGAGTATACGCCATAACTCGAATCATCATGCCCTCTTTAAATTCCACACCATTTATCGTGCAATCCTTTGTACACATCCGGGCAGTTCTGTAAGAGAAGTCGGTCATACACTTAGTCTGATATGTAGTATTATAGCTGTTTTTGATGGATATCCAGTAAAACTCTGAATTCATCTTTCATCTTTTTGTGATAAGTGATTTTTCGTTTTATTTTTATTTTGGTGGTGCATTGGATAAGCCTATTGTGCTATTATCAACAGCATTCTACAACGTTGTGTTCAGCTGAAAGCATCGCATATACACAACGGAAAGTTTTGAATGTTGCTTGACTTTTGGTGTTTGTTAGCCTGGAATGATAGGTATGGCGTAGGTAATTACATTCCATAGATTAAACTACCAGGACGCCGAAATCAGAACGATGTGTCATGATGATGGTACCGTAAGCAGACCAAACGCTCACAGACCAAATAAGAAGATACATTGCATTTTTGTCAGTATTGTACAAATCTTAAAATGATTTTCGGAAAAAGGAACATTAACCTGGTCAAATATTAGCCATTACTTCCTGTACTACATCATGAGTGTCTACTACGTCAATGTATTGTATTTACTACGTCACTGTTCAGTGTTTTACGTCATCATGCTTACCCTGGTGCACACGGATAGAGTCGCAGTGCTTCATTCATGACCATCTCCAAATATTCCATGTTTTTCAGGGCCGCAGCAGTAGGATGTTCCTTAAAAATAAATGGATCGGGCGTGACACGTTGGTGATACAAAAATGAATATCCTGATGAAATGTTCGATTTTCAATTTCAGAATATTTTATTGACATTCCTACAAAAATTTGGACAAAAGGTTAAAACATTTATAATACCTCTCCTAATGAATTGTTATCGGTATGTAATATCTAAGTTTCCAATTGTAAGTTGTTCTTTTAAGGTTGTGTAATTGTCCACGGAACACACAGTATATCTTATTTTTATGTTGTTGATGAACCCTGGAATCATCTGAGAACTATACTTACAGTTAGGCCACACTGTCCGAAGATCTCGTCGAATGCCTTCTGTTGCTCTGCCTGGTTCATAGCTAGGCAATGCACAATGAATTCGAGGCTGGCATTTAGGGTGCCACTACCTCCCCCGATCAATGAATGAAGATGTGCGATTATCTCCTCGTCATCAAGTGAGCGACGTACAAGTTTACCCTCCTCATTACGACACGTGAATGTGCCACGGATGATATGATTGAGGAGGTTGTCAGTCAGGGAGGCCGAGGTCGTGCTCTGCAACAAAACGAGACCATTCTTATCAACAACTTATCGCTTGTGGAGACTTCCAAGGATTTTTCTCAAGAAGTCTGGTTTGTTTGTGCATGACATTTTATCATGATTGCTCTGGATGGCGTGTAACGGGTACCCCATATGTTGTTCAGCAAGTTAACCACCATCTTCAACGAGGAGACTCTGCCTCAAAATGGCCCTGGCTTTCCATGCGGCGATAAACCGCGTAAAGATCAAAGAAAATATAGTACTTACTGTCAACAAATAATTTTCGTGGAGCATTTTTTATTGATTTGATGGGATACTCTTAATCCACGTATATAAATATTTTCTCCTCTTACGATTCGTCAGTTATGTTAGGGACATAAAATATTCAAATCTAGAAGGCGACAGACGAAAGCTCGCAAACCTTTTACATTTCAGAACATTTCTGTTCAAATATTGAGTGGTACTTGTATTAAGATAAAAATGGACCAAAATAATTCCAAAATTACGTGATATATGAAAATTACGAAATTTATCTAATTATGGAGCTGCTGCACTTCCCGTCTAGATTTTGACTTTTATTTTGTTCACTTTAGATTTGTCTTATCTGCCTCTTCAGGCTACCAATTTAGGCCCTTTGCATCACTGACGTATCCTAGAAGGACAAAACAGCTGTATGATGCAGTATCATGGCGAGTCCTAGAAGGACGAAACAGCTGTATGATGTACAATCATTGACGAGTCCTAAAAGGACGAAACAGCTGTATGATGCAGTTTAACTAATTGTTTGCTCTACTGTATCTCATTCTAAGTTACGAAAAGGTGTTATTCACTTGTGTGGCTTTTGTACAATTTTACCTAAATATGGACGTTCAGCCAAAGATTATCTTTACATCAAACAGAATGAAATCTATCAGCAGACTGTTGGAGACGAAAGCTGAAAAGTTTATAATTTCTATTACCGCATATGGCTCTCGTCAACGTAGGTAAAAATTGTTCAGCTAGTATTGATCTCACCGCTTCAATAACCCTAACAGATACAGAGTTAAAAAGTACCTCTTGTCTTGTCATGTGTACAAAATCCCTCATCTTCTCTACGTGTTTCATATGGACACGTCTATGCTTGTAGTCAAAGATTTTCAGGAACGGAGTAAGACTTCCATAAACTCCTACAGAAGATATCAATCAAATGTCTATTTAAACAAGTATAATCAACTTTTAAAAACTGATTCAAACATAAAAACATAATTTTAATGATTTGATCTTATTTCATTTATTCATTCATTTTCTTGTTATTTTTATTGGTTTTCATTTGTTTTTCATTTATTCGTTTATTTATTTTATTTTTATCCCCCCATATATTCAGTTTATAGGTTTAATAATACAACTAAATTCATTGTTTGACTCTACTCTAGCTTGCTCTAAATTTATATTAAAAGGTGATATTCACTTGTGAGTCTTTTGTACAATTTTTACATGCATTTTGTATATCAAAGTTGTACACTTACTAGCAATGCCAGTCAGTTGATTCTCCGTCGAAGCAGCTTTGATAGATTCAGTCATGAACTGATATAAAATGGCGTCAGGGTTTTCTATGCTGTTTACATCATAGTTAAATGCAGATAGGGCGAATGCATCCAAAGTGAATCTGTCTAATAGTCTACAAATAGACCAGGCGATACAGTTATCAAATATACTAAACAGAACTGGAACTGACATGTTTTATATATAGTATGATATAAATGACGTATCTTCCTGGTTTTTAAATCCTCGTAATTGCGATTCCGTGCGATAAAACAAATATCAAAAATAAAAAAAGAAACAAACACACAAAGAAAAAAATAGTACATAAATAATATCAAATACACTATTCAATCTAATAAATGAATACATCATCGATTAATAAACCAGAATTCAACATGTAAGATAAGATATTACGTTTTGTTTTAACATCCAATTGTTTAAAGAGAGAATAGCAGTCTTTTACGGGACATATAACTTACGTGGCGATGTTGAATCCCTCTGGATGGTTCTCAACCAGCTTGGCAAGTTTGGAAAGAAAAATGTCCGAAGTGATCTTCACCTTCTCTACAGCCTACAACATAGATATGATAAATAAATACACTAATACCCTTAGTGACCCGCCAATTTAGAGAGAGCTACACAGTTTATTAATAAAATTTGGTCATACAGTCGTTACACAGTAGTCTTAATAAACTGACAAAATACCTTCATATGGTCTTGCACAATAGTCTTTATTTATGAACAAAATACCGCCATACGGTGTTGCACAGTAGTCTTAATTCATCAATGAAATACGGTCATATGGTCTTGCACAATAGTCTTTATTGATGAACAAAATACCGCCATACGGTGTTGCACAGTAGTCTTAATTCATCAATGAAATACGGTCATATGGTCTTGCACAATAGTCTTTATTTATGAACAAAATACCGCCATACGGTGTTGCACAGTAGTCTTAATTCATCAATGAAATACGGTCATATGGTCTTGCACAATAGTCTTTATTTATGAACAAAATACCGCCATACGGTGTTGCACAGCAGTCTTGATTCATCAATGAAATACGGTCATGCGGTTTAATACAGTTTTCTTATTTAAACAATACAATATCGTTCTTACTGCGTCAGACAGTAATCAAAATCAAACGAAACAAGACGTTCGTATAGCGTGACAGAGTAGTCTTGATTAAACAAAACGATACGGTCGAACAGCGTCACACATACGAATCATCAAAAAAAATACGATCCCGTTGGACCAGGCAATAATCTTAATTTCTCATTAAATACGAACATACATTGTCAGGTATTATTTACGCAATTATAACATTTCCTTTTGGAGGTATATATGTGTCATTGATTCAAAAGACGTGGGGATATGCAACATTGTGAAAGCATTATTTTCTCAGCAGAAAGCATATTTGATTTCCATAAATTCCAATCTCGTTACCTAACGCGTGTAAACGTAAGAGGCGACTAATGTGATGCCATTTACAAATTTAGTATGTTGACGTAATTTCGTGAGTCGTTACTATATTTTATTTTCTTGCCCAATGTTTTTCCCGTTTTAATAGTTCGTTTAGTACCGGTCTTTGTTTTCTGATATGTTGAGAGGTTATTCACCCTTGCCTTTGCTTCCTCCAAACCTGACGAATCATCACCGGACCAGTGTTCTGTTTATTGGACTATTCCATTTTTGGAATTAATTTGGCAATTGTATGCGCCATCTGTTTCACTTAAATTAATTACTCTCATATCAATATCCGAATGTGAAAATGGCAATGTTGATACAAATGTAGTTCCATCACCGTTACACAAACGCATGTGAAATCAAGATCATTGACGATCCTTTAGTTACATACTGGAAGCCATCCCATTCAAACGTTTCCATGTCTAAGGCTATTGAAACATAACGTTTATATATACCTTCTCCATACATGTCCTGTTGAAAGCGGTAGCTACAATTGCCCGTTGATGTTTCCATAATGACCCGGATATAGTGAACAGGTTCAAGTGATCAGGGTAGTAAGTAAACGGGTTGTAAATCTGAAAATAGACACATATTACCATAAAATCTAAAAATAAAGACATATCTCCATAAAATCTAAAAACAGATCTATTTCTATTAAATCTAAAAATAAAGATATATTTCCATAAAATCTATAAATAGAGATTTTTTTCATTAAATCTGAAAATATCTTTATGTTCCCGTCAGAACTATACGAATATATTCCCTAAAGGACTAACTACCATATCGACAAACAACGAGTCACACACCTATCGTATGGTAGATATAGATTTAAAGCAAAAACATTTCAATTATTTTTGTTGTTTTCATTTGTTTTTTTCTGAAGACTGATTTGAAATGCACAATTAACCATAAATTGTTTTCCATGGTTCAATGAAATCACCTATTCTATATATCTAAGTATTTTTGTGCGTCATATTATAACTAAAACATACACGTCCCTCTTAAAACTCTTACTGATGTATTCATTTGTCAAGTCTAAAAATAGCCATCAAAGTTTGGACTCTCCTGACCTAGCGGTCAAAGCGTGTTTCATTGTCCTATGATTACCATAGCGGTCAAACCTTGCTTCACTGACCCGCGATTAGACATAAATATTCCAGACAGTCACCTACCGGTCGGACGTGGAACTTGTCGAAATGCTTGACCAGTATTTCTTTGGTCATTTCGGGATCGTTGACCACGATGCTAGGTCGGAAACCTTCGAAGAACCTGTAACATACATTAGTAAACACCTAGAACAGTTGCTAATATAGATCTAGTGGATGGAATAAGCAGATAACCAGGAGTTAATAAAAGACAGTCGAACTTCGTTATCTCGAAGCTGGATGGACCGTGTAAAAATCGATATATCCGTGTATCGATATAAGTTAGTTAGAATATTCAGTGTGAAATTTGGCCAGACCGATGAAATACGTGATCTTTGAGTTATACGACTTCTGGATACCGCGATTTGACTGTATGTGTTTTCATTAGTATAAATGTAGATGTACCGCCCCAATTACTTTTTTGCGTTAGTCAAATACACTGAATTAGTCTGTTGTAGGATATAGTTTGCAGACTAACACATAGCCATTGCGAGGACTAACTCCTGGTAGATCTTGAACTGGTAAAAACCGGAAATACACTCAATAGATAGAAGTATTTGTCACGTAGAGTAAGTGAAATGAAGGTGTATATATCATTATCATAGTCAAGCATTTCATTGGAACGTATTATAATCAATTACATTTTTATCTTCCTAACATTCCTAATGTAACCACAGCTTTCAGAGATACACATCAAAAGTAGTTTATTTTCATTCGTGCGTAAAATGACTTAAGTTTGCGCTAATCACTGTAAAAGAAATGTTAAATCGCATTGCACCGATGATTTATCAATTTCTAAAAGGCTGTAAATTACTTGTCTTTTTTGTGAAATAAGACTACAGTATGTAAACGTTTGAGAAGTTTTTGTCTTTACTACGCCATACTGTGTGAAAATATATTGAGTAGATCACGTAAAGTTGATAAAGATGTAAAAACCTTTAAAGAAAAGATTCCCAGGAAGTCTTAAAAGTGAGACTTGGGCACGATTTAATTGCTTTACTTTGAAGGTAAAGAAAACCTTATTGACATATATCTATATCTCCAACGTTTCCCACTAGGACACCCTAACCAGTGTACTCACTGATACTAACATGTGCTAACGTAATGGTTTAACTAGTGCCAGCATGTAAGTACGATCAGTTGGTGGGAGGTTGTGTGAGCATTTTAAGTGATTTGTGGAGATAAAAACATTAATTTAGAAAAAGGCGGCAAAACAGTAAGAAAAATTTAAAGCAGTGCAAATATCCAAAAACGTTTTTGAAGAGAAAACATAATAATTTGAAGTCACATTTTTTTAAAGAATGAAAAGTTTTTTTAAAACGCATTACGATATGTATTTACTAAAATGTTGGTCATATTTATGTTCTATATGATATTCGTGTATTTCTGCTTCTACTTAGAATGGGTTTGTACAATATATATCTATATATATATATATATATATACACATATAATGCTTTAACAAAAATACATATTCATCCTCAGCAGCACAGTTTTTGCTCAGGATGTTCCGCTCAATATAATTTCAAATCAATTTAAGGACATGCTACTATCAGATATATTTTTGACATCAGACAAGGTTTAAATATATTCTTACCCGTAAACGTTTCCATATTTTTTTCTGAACTCCTTGAAGACATCCAGCGGGTTCTGAAATAAAAGTCCAGTATTTCAGGAATGGATATTTACAAACAGCATTCGTATTTGTTGTCGATGTTTAAATCTAGAACATTCCAATAGATAATTACATATACCGTACAACCGGTTATTTTCGCAGTGACATATTTTCACGTTTTCGCGGTACGTTAACGAATTTGTTTCAGTGAAACAAGGATATCCGTGTTTATTAGATGCGCTTTCACATGAAGATCGCGATTTTTTGTTCTTGAGAACATTATTCGGTCTTTTTAAAAATTGACCTGTGAAAATTACTGCTTTTACGGTATATATAATGATGGTAAGGGACACTTAAGAAAGAAAATGCAGCATAGAGCGGCATCCACACTTTTGTGAAGATAACCCCGATTGCAGGGTAGCCCCAACTGATAATCTGAAAACAATTTAAACATATATGACAAGTACATTATTAATTACCTCAAACGTTTGGTTCACCTGCGATAATTTGATTCATCTTAAAATCTACCTTGACATTCTTAAAGATTAAATGATATGAATTATACATAGTCCAAATAATTCGTGACAAAACTTTATAATTGTGCACTAAATTTTCTCATGATATCGGAACTAATTTGATTAATAGGTACAAATAGTAATTAGACAGATAAACACTGCACTTTTCAGCTCTACCGGATACAACAGTGGTGAACACAGATGATATTATCATTACAATGTACAGAATACACAGTCCACACCAACTGTGTGAAGGACCATCAGATATAAATGACGTAAAATACAACAAAAAATAACGGAAGAAAGGGTGTGGTCGAACAGAAATTAAAATGGGCGTGGCTGTGCAGTTCTGTAGATAATATGGTGCATATCTTTACTTTGAATGGGACCGATAACACTGAGATATGTCTGTATTCGAGCCTTATCACTCGGGCTAGATTTTGATAAATAGTTCAAGATTGACGATAAAAATCTATAAACAGATGTAATTAATACGCGTTTGTTTATCTAATTTCATGTTTCAGTGCTGTTCCGTCAGTATCATAATTAAGGCGTGGATATTTCCTATGATCACGATAAAATGAAGAAGATTAAAATGCGAGATATTCTAGTAATGAAATAAATACAAGCAATGCATTTTAAGGTTTCAGGACAACACATAATCAATTACTAGTGTAAGTTAGGTTTCAGCTATATCTTACCTTAAAGAATGTGAGCTGAATAAGTACCATCTATACGAGGGTATCTTGGCGATACACCATTATTATCTGTTGTCAGAACACGAAAACAATTACAAAAAGGTAGAGTGTCCCTTGCAGGAAGATTTAACCACAGAACGCTTTGTTAGTTTTCGTGTACACATTTTGTTTAAACTTACCAGTAGATTTCCTTGGCATCAACAATAAAAAGTCATTATGTTATCAAAAAAGAATTATGGAACATACAAGATGGTTTTTGGCAGAAATTACGTACGACAGAAAGTGTAACGCTAAATTATTACAAAATCGGATTAAGCTGAAAAAGTAAGATTTTTTTCTCCTGGTATTTTGAAAATTTCTGGTTAAGTAGATAGCGGTGACAGAAAAGTGTATTTAAACATGTAACCGGAACAGTTGTAATATCACCTTAACATGCCATTACCCGAGATACGTGGAAACAGGTAATCAATGCATTGTTAGCTTAAAAAATCAGGCTTTTAATATCATCATCAAGTTTTGTCGAAATCAAACAGAAGCAAATTTAACCTGATTATGATAGGTATTGTTATTTATCATCATTTCATCCCGTGATACATCGATGTAATCACCTATACCGTTGCCTATACCTATATGGTTGTTGATATACCACGTGACGTCATTTATTGCATTGAAGGTGATACACGTTCCAACCGAGATTAATCCAAACAGTTGGATTTTCCTCCAATGAAAAAACATTTGTCCGTATTAAATTCGGTATATTAAAGTCACTATCTATTTGAATGTTACTATCACTTAATAGTTGAACATAATTGTTCTTATATGTAAAAAGTTTGCGATTTGTCTTCAGTTGCCTTCTAGAAGTCCACATTTTAGGTCTTTAGCATCACTGATGAGTCCTAGAAGGACGAAACAGCTGTATGATGTAGCTTAATTCACTGTTCATTTAAAAAGGCTATTCACTTGTGTATCTTTTGTACAAATTTACAGGAAAACTGATTGGAAATTTCTTCTTTATGTAGTGTGAATTCAAGACATCTAAAAATATATTAGATTGTCGTCGACGTCATGATAAATGCATCAAACGAGCATAAGAAGTATACATGACATAAGATTGTAGTAGTTTATGGGAACAAATGTAAGCTGAATGTTAAAATGTTTATGGTCGCCATAGTGATCTCATGGAGAAATAATCTGTTTCTTTCTGCGATATGAAGCTGGACGTGTTTGATGCTCGTTAGTTTGTCTGTTGGTTCCTTTGTTGTTTACCTTGTTCTTTTTTGAGAACGTGACATTACTTATTTGGATTGACGATTATTGGCGATGAAACAGTAGATTACTACTCTTTCAGAACACCTAGTCTAATTCTCCCTGCATTTTTTGTCAGGAGTCTCCCATGTTTATCTTTCATTTGCTCATACTTTACAATAATTTTATTAAATTTGAGTTTGGATTATGATTATGTTGATATGTTGGTATTTTCAACTTGATTTGTAATGACATACAATCTAACTATGCTCTCGGTTCTGACTTGACTTGACAGTGTGATGATAAACATTCCATATATAACTACCTTGACTGTGTTCCTTAGATTACATCACAGACACGGGTACACGTACACTACGGCAGATAAAATATCAGACTGATCTAAACAATCAAAGTAAAAATCCACTGACACAAGACCATCTCGGATAAATAAATAAATTTTTATAAAAAATCAGGAAAATACCAACATGGCAACCTAAATATAATTCAAACTCAAATTCCATAAAACTTATAAAACAAAACATGAACAAAAGAAAGATTTACATGGAGACTTCTGCAAACATACAAGGAGGATAAGACCAGATGTTCTGGAAGAGTAGGCGTCGTCTGCTTCATCGACGACACCCGCCATGTAGACTTTGGTCAATCCAAGCGAGTAATGTGACGTTCTCAAATAAGAACAAGGTACACAACAACGGAACCAACAGGCAACCAAACGAGCATCATAAAGATATTTAATACGTGTTGTGTTGTTGTAAGCGTGTTTATGTATATCTAAGAGCACATTACCGTTTGATAGAGTAAACCCTTATAAAAGTGCAGCACAAAAAACAATTGAATAGTTTATTTAACACAAATTTGGAAAATAGGATAGAGACAAATAATTTGTTAAACTGCATTATCTAGTTGTTCAAGATCTTATAATTTGCTTTCTATAATATCTATAAAATTAATTTAATTTAAAGTATTAATTCTCTTTATCAACAATCGATTATTTAGGAATTAAGATACAATTATATTCAATATGGTCCGACCAGACCAAAATGAAACCATTTTCAAACCTGAAATATCACTATGTGCAATGCTTTCCACACACATGTATAGTTTAATTTTCAGAAGATATATATAAGTATTGATAAAAAGTCCTTAATTATGAATCATACATACATGTACTTAATTTTAAAGGTATTACTTATGTATTGTCCATGATGCACTCCATTTTGATTCTTTTTCAGACAGTCATATTACTTAGGTAGATTGGTATCAGATAATAAGTATCTACAAGAATAAGTTTTGATATAATCGTGCATTTCAATTAGGTATTAATGGAACGAAAGGCATGTGAAATGGATAACAAACGATTTTAAAGATAAGCTGACAGGTAAGAAATTACAGGTACATTAACACGTATTGTGGAGATTTACCTTATCGTATTGCAAAATTGACTTCAGCTTAGCAACATTTGCAAGCTTTATAACACTAACAGATAATCTTAAATCATTAAAATGGATATTATTTCACAAAATTCATTTAATAGTGTTTTACGTTAACTTCTGTTCATTTTGAGTTTCACATTGAATATGTTTCATTTTCAGTTTGAACTATTTCATAGCAGCATATCTTTTGTCATTTATGTGGGATTAAGCTAGCAGTGTTCGATATTTAAAATCTACAAAAATGAATATTGGTGTTAACGTATACTATACTGCTTATTATCTTATAATGAGAGATATCAGCTACCTGTTAGGTGTACTAGTACGTGTCGGAATGTCCCAACAGATTGTCGTTACGATAGATTTGTTAACGAGCACAAGGAATATGATTTGATACCCAACTTGTAACGATTATCTATCAATGTAACATAAATTTCTGTTAACTGAAAGAAAATTATCCATTCAACCATATTTCGTGGCAATAACGTGTATTCATGCACAACCCAATAAAACTAATTATATCATATCATGAATATTTCTTAACAATAAAATTTCTTTCAGAAACAAATTTCTATCAATCCTAATATCTATTATTACCAAATATGATCCGATGTTATTTCGCGATAATTTTGACGCCTTTCACATCAATTGTCTGAATAATTTTATCAAAAAGAAATTGACGTTTCGATTTATTAGCTGTGTAATAAGAAGCGAGTCTCCCGAAGATTGTGACCTGATTATAACTATGATATTTCAGGGACGATCATGACTAATTCTCTTAGCCTGTTTCAAAGGAGACATCACGGAGGGTGGCAAATCTGGGTAATGGACGCCTCCGTGTCAAATTTTACATAAGACAAATATGTGAATAGCACCATTGATATGCATTTAAAATCAGATACAGTAAGGTAATATGATAAACTGCATCGTACAAATGTTTTGTCTTTCATGGACTCGTCAGAGATGTTAAGGGCTTAACTGTTTTTTTTTAAATTCTTTGTGTCGTTTGAAGACCAAAATTGACCGAAAGAAATTTCAAACTGAGGTGCAAATGAAATTAAATGAATTAACGACTTTGATCAGTTTATTATCGCATGAACTTCAGGTAAGACATTGCAAATGTTTTCTGTTATATAAATATATACTTCGGTACTATAATATCCACGAGAATGATAACATATGGCGTTTTTTAATATGAGTTGCAGCCATCCACCAAGTGTATTTGGAGCCAACACATCCAATTCGACCGCAATAGAAAACTATGCAGATAATGTGTGTACGCAGTGCTCTATCAAAAAGTCATAATCCAATGACTTTGGAAACTTTTCTTAAAATCCTATCGAATTGATTGTACCCAATCACGTGGATTTTTTTTTAAATCTTTGTGTTCAGTTTCCGTCCGTATAAAGACCCTCTCCTTAACAATACATACACCCTCCCCCAACCAATACCCCGCGCGCGTAGTCATACGGAAAAACATCATTATCAATGTATATCGATATCATTTGACAGCTTTGAAAAGACAAAGTTTACATTGAATGGAAAACATTAAAAAATATATTATTTGTCAGGATAAAGTATTCATTCCGCATATTTGAAGATATCACACCAAGGTTATTTATATAACGGTCATTTAAAGTAAATAGCGTGTACTTTTATAAAACCACGTGGCTGTTTACTGTGATGAGGGTCAATGACAGCTTGTTTGGTCAGCAATGAAAATTCAGTGAAGTTTTACAGTCTGTTGATAATTCCAAGTAAATGTCTCAATAGGTTTATTAGCTCTCGATTTGTTGACAGTTATTGAATATAAATCATTATAGCAAGATACACTACATTAATATTAACGACGTTCATCAAGTTCATATGGATACTAGTCTTTGGCTGTTGGTGTGTGGCGTCAAATGTAGATTTTATCTACGAGGGGTGCATCTGGGAATAAAAATATTTATAACTGCAATTTGTAAACAGGTTCAAAGAAAAGGTAGAAGAAAACCAATATTGGTATAAAAACATATTTAGCAATGCAAATAAAACGGATGTGACAAACAGTGTTTTGTTTGTATTTTAGTTAAGCGATGATTTCATAATTACACGGGTTCAGTGTATATGCGAAAGTGCATAGCAATTAAATCTAGTTTTATGGGGCTGAAGATGTGTTGTTATGATATAGGAAACACAATGTATTGTAATAAAGTAACATTTTGTTATGTTCAAGTTCAAATTATAGCTTGCGGTTAATGGATAGTTTACAAAATTATCACGTTTTCTTGACAAAATCATACATCTACACTTATAACACATGTACATATCACAAGAATGGCATTTTAAAAGCGACCTTTGTTTTTAGAATGAACTAAGAAATAATTATCGTAAAAATTTGCATAGCACTTTTAGCGGTAAGTGGAAATGTATGTTTCCGTGATCATAAACCAGCTTGTTAAAGTGTAGTGATATCATTATAACACATGTACAGGTAAAGGTCATTCCGCTAAAGTACACCTGTTCGCCTACCTGTGTTCTTACCTGGTCGCACCTGTAGAGAGATGTCAATGTTTCGATATACAGGAGTACTCTAACGTTATTTGTACTTTTAGCCACACCCTTGTCGTAGTCCTGACCACGCTTACTTAAGGTCACCTAAATCATTGTAGCCTACGTGTGGGAGGTAGTGAACAACAGAGTTTGTATAATAGCTTTAATAGTACATTGAAATGATCCTTATTTTATCAATTATTCTACTAAATATAATCTTATGTTGTGTTTTTTCTTCAAAAAATAACATTAATTTATTTCTTTCAGTTCAATAAATGCAGAAATAGAAAGAAGAATTGAAAAAAAAATAATAATAAAAAAAAAAATGTAAACAAAACCGTAAATCATAATCAAATACCATAAAAGGTTAATGGGACTGAACGAATTAGTTACACGTATAAAGTACAAGGAGAACAGGCCAGTTTGTATCCCAAGACTTCTACCCTCGCTGTATCTAATTATTCTAATCATGGTATGTTACTGATGATAGGCTCCGCTTACAGACAAGACCCAATTTATCCAACATATAATAACGAACCTCGCTGGTCGAATGATTGTGAATTAGAACATCACAAAACTTAAAATACCGCTCTTTACAAAACATTATGGGTGATATTTACTAAGACCAAGTGTTCCGGAAGGACACTTTCTTCTGCGTCATGTAAATCTTGGTCAATCCAAATAATGTCAGGTTCTCTAATGAAAACACGATAATTTCAAGCAAAAACACCCAGCTAACTGACATCGATCTATATGGCATGTGCCGTCGATGAAGCAGAGGACGCTTTCCTTTCCGGAATACCTTTATTCTCTTTGGAGTTTTTCATGACTCTCCGTGTAAATCTTTTTTGGTTGGTATTTTCGTAAGATTCACGAATATAGGTTTGAATTTAAACTATGTTGACGTGAGAGTATGTTTTGTGGTCGTTTTCCCGAATGGAATATTTCCAATGAGAACATGGTGGTGACCATTTATCCACTACTTCTTTATACATATTCTACATTGCAATTCGGTTTCATCGTTATTCTCTATAAAAACGACCGAATAATGTTATCATGCAATACGTATCAGATTAAATTCATGGGAATATATTTCTAGTTTAGCACTATAATCATTATTTTCATTGTCGCTTATGTCCGTTCTGATTCAAGTCTAAGAATATGTATGCCGAATAATTTCATTTTCCGTCTGATCAATTAGAACACCTGATTTCTTTTTTTATGGTTATTATTTTGTAAGATTTTTTATCGAACTTCGCCGTTAAAGTTTTTTTTAAAAAACTGGTTGAAATTGGTATAATGATTCTCTTGTGTAGTTATGCTACATTCGAACACGTGCACGATCGTGCAAAATCAGCCGTTACCAATATAATGTATGGCTATTGTATCAACGGGTCTGTTTCCATGTTTAGACTAGACCAACCCCGCCCATTAACAGATGTACTTATCACAAGGGTCGCGCTGACCTGACTTTCATTAGATTAACAACTGGTTAACTTCATATAACTAAATCTAATTTTCCAAAAATATGTATTATTTAAAATTATCCCAAATTTTCCGTTTCTTTCATTTGTGATATATATAATATTTGTCTTCAATCACATTACTTAATATGACCTCATTTTGAAAAGATATTTGTATTTTTACAATGGTATTAAGTTTGTCATACATTTAAAAAATCAATCCGATGATATAAATATATGAATTTTAATTCCTTCACTAGCTGATCAATATCCTATTGTCATTATCCAGGTGACCGTATTATCGATACCTACACCAGCACCAGAAAAATGTCCCCTCAACACGATGGTAGACTCTAAAAGGAATGTATGTACGATATGAATTAGTCTTGTATTTATATAAACATCACGTGTATAAAAACGTTTTTTATAACAACGGCTCAATGTTGTCTCATGTACCAGGTTGTGCTACTCTCCGCTTTGTAACAACAATTCTGTGTTGTCTCTATTTCTATTCTGTAAATGATTCTTGGGAAATGTTATGTGTGCTTGTCTTGTATTTTGTACTTCTGAGAACAACTTTACTTATCATGTATTTTGTTATGTTGTATCTAAATGAATGGTGTAAAGTTTTGTTATGTGTGTGTGGAAGGTGGGTGAGTTTGTATGTTTTTTCTCATTTTTTAATACTTTTATAATAATAGCAGTTTATTTCGATGTGATTCATTGAACACTAATTTCTAAACATAAAATAAAATTGCCTGAAGTAGATGTTCGTGAAAGCGAAAAGTACAATAAATGAAATCCTCAATGACTATATTAAAACTACATTTTCCCATTCTTTCCTTCATTAACTGAGAATCCGACGTCCTGGTTGATTTGTATTCCAGACTTTGACAGATTCCTACTATCGAAGGATACCATCTGTTTTCAATATCCTTATTGTACAATCCTTGAACCATTATTGCTTTATCAATCTGTGTTGTTCGGAGTCCTGTCCTGTGTTTGTGAGTAATATATGTTTTGTTTACTGCGATGATAACAGATAAATTATCACGGATATTAATAATTACGTGTGTAAGCGAGAACAACACCTTCCTATTGTTCTGGTGATGTCACAATACACAACCGGAAGACCTGTCACTCCCTAATGTTGTTGTATTACATTGTAAATGGTTAAGGGGTCGGCTTATTATTGTTGTTGTGGGTTACGTGGTGTTAGAGTTAAACCTGAAGGTAACAATTAATTAATCATCTTACGTCAGAGTTACCACAATCCGTCATGTCTGAGTGAATACAACCACAATCTCATAGATTTTTTTTAAATATTTACTTGATATTTCAACTCTGGGCGCAGTTGTCTTACATAATAATTGAATAAAAATTACAGTGATATTTCGTAATTGCGACTTTTCACAGACTATGAGGAATTAGAATTTAATTAATTTTGAATCCGGTGTTCCAATCTAAAAACACTGATAGCAGATTTGATAACAGCGGAATATTTATGCATCTTCTTTTTGATACACTGAAAAGCAATCACGATATTTTTTCGGACGAAAGATAGTTAAAATTTTAAAATACTATTTTTAAAATGTTAAGTACTAGTGGTAAATATCACCTTTGAAATTTTATGATAAAAAGACGTGTTAGGAAAAACGTGATACTTTTTAATTCCCTTTCCTTGCCAACTCCTGTAAATATCGATTATGGTAGTGAAATATCGATACCATAAACATCATCTATGTGAGTTGACGACACACATTATACAAACAGTACTCTGATCGTTTAATGAAGAATCTAGGATTATTTGATATGAATAATAATCTCCTGGGGAAAATTTAAAACCATGATATGATATTTGTTAGTTAGATGTGTACTTGATGGAGAAAGAAAAACGCTGAATAAACAAACATATATGATTTTTTGTACTTACTCTGTCTTTGAATTCCTTTAGATTGCCGATTATCCACTTTGGCTTGGGTCCAGGCAAGTTGGTTTTGTCAAAAACCGAGTAGATCCTTTGTAGATATCTAATAAAATAAACAACATCTTAGAACAAGATATCATATATATCAAAGCTTGATAATGTTCGAGTTTGTAGATATTTATAACATAATATCTGATACATAGAATTGGATATTCTTATTTCGATACATCTGTTAAATTAGAAGACTGATTATTTGCAAAATCAAATATTCGTGTCTATTTATGCTTAAAGTTACTTGCTCTCTTACAGACTGCCAGAAGCAATACATGGAATATGAAATACGATAGTCATGAAGTTCAACCGTAGGAATTCGAATTCTGCCGAGTTTTGGGAATGCTAATCAAAATATCCACAACAGTGTATGATATTTGTGCTACAAGTCTACATCATGAATAATTGCATAATTCGAGAAATCATTTTAAAAAGCGAAGGCATTTTCAGGACAAACTATTTAAGTTTTTCAAGCGATCGAAAAGAGACGTATTTCTAATCTTATAAGTAATGTACTCTTTCTATTACCGAATACTGCATATTTTTGAAATATGATTTAAAATTAATCGTTATATGTTGAACGACATTTGTTTTGTAAATTGTTCATTGTTATAGTTCAACACTTGAAACGTTGAGTTGGGTTAGTAACATTAAAAGCAGCTACTTAAAATTTGTAGTAGGTCAGTTAAGTCATTATCGGAGATTGTCATTTAAACCATATATTATTTCTTTTTCTTTTATATTGTTTTATCCGTTTATTCTATTTCTATAGTAAATTGATGTCTGATTTGATTTTCAAACACTCTTGAATTAAAAAGTTTCAGAGAATCTTTGAATATAGATAACAAGTTATTCCTTAATACACGTATTCACACATTTGTGCATGTATGATGATTTACCATTATTTATAACCTGTTACGATTCTAGTATGAAATTTAATCAATATTTATACGAAGAAAAGCATATGGAAATTTGAAACTGTTTCTTTGTTCGAAGCATGACCTTGCACCGGCTGTGCAAGTTCTTCACCTTAAACAAAATTCGGAATTCGTATTCCAAAATATAATTCAAGTGTCCTTTCGCAGCTGATTAAAATTACAAATATACATCTATGTTTAAATATTTGAAAAATGGTAAAAGATGGAATTCTTTATACGAGATCAAATGAGATATGCTGTGACGAGCATTACTGGATGTGAAAAACAGTTTTACTTTTTCTTACTTTGTTCCCTGAAATACATCCTATTAGTCGTCCATCAGCTTTGCATGTTTACAAATTCGAATATACAAAGAGGACAGTTTTGATTCCAAAAGAAATTACAGGAAAACCATGACTTCAATAAATTAATCCATTCGTAACCATTTTCCATTTCTTAGCATGTTTGACAGTATTTGGAAATATCACATTCAAAAGTCGGCTTGATTTATTGACTTTGGTAGCGTTTATTATATCAGCCGATATGTGTATTCTACTGTACGTAAGTCGTAATAGAACTGGTCAGTGGGTCAAGTATTTGTACTTTTAGAACAATACACGGTCATGCAGGTTACACTGTTGTACTTATAGAAGTTCTGTATGTATATAGCTTACAATACACCTCACCAATAAAGGTGACATGATTTTGACATTATAGAACAAATCTGCTACAATATAGGTAAATCTGATGGATATTCGGTCACATATCTTACCTTTATTCATAATTGGAATGTTTTACCAATATCTTTTACTTTTTGTTTGTATTTTTTTACATTTCTATGAACAAAAAATTTTATACACATTTGTTGTTGATGTTGATATTATTGAATTCGAGATTATTTAAATGTTTGTACTTATGTTGTATTGTAATAAAATACTTTATTTACTTATTGTTTATGTAGGTTAAACAAATATTGATACAAACTAAACATAGATATAAAGTACAGAAAGATCACATAACATGCCTTATACTTTATTTCGTCAATAATCAGGAATATTTATATAAATGTCCGGTTATTTTGTTTTGTTTTTCGGGAAATTTTTTTTTCTTTCCTTTTTTGTTTTTTCCCTTTCCGTTTTTGTTTTGTTTTTGTTTTTTTAGCGATAATCAATCATTTAACAATGCTATATCTGGCTTTTAATCTGTGTTGAAAGATAAATGTGCGTGATGAAGGTATTTAAACCAGTCAAATATGTACGTTCTTTCATATCGAGCCAAAAACAAAGAAATGATAATGACAAGAAAGAATAATAATAAAAAATAATGAAAAGTACTGATCATAATCATGTATGAGTGAACCGTTTTATGTATAATGAATCCGATTTCGGATAACTAATACTAAATGTTCTGTACAATACTTGGCTGAGTACTTAACTCTGTAGTTTTTGTATGGGATATTAATTCAAACTTTAAATAATGTGATGTAGTTTTATATTTGTGTCAAAAGGAAGCAAGACATCTTCATACATTGGTTTGTCTTGCATTACATGAGAAGTTGGGTCATGTTTAGTCGAAAGGACGGATCTTGCTTTTAATTCTTAAGTGTTTTTGTTGGGTTGTTCTTGTGTTCACACGGTTGATGACTACAGATTAACTTCACACGTCATTGACAATAAGCGGATCGTGTGATAGAACGCTTAGTATCACTATCAGAACTCGCCTACAACCGGAAACGTTTGGACATAGATATGGCCGGTTTAAGTAACAGATTGTGTAGCAAAACAAAATTCCACAGCGTCAACACATGGCTAATTTATACATCAAAATACAAGAAAGGGATCTATAAAAGAAAAGAGGAGAACTTGTGAATTTCGGGCTAAATGAAACTTAATATTTTTATCTGAAAATCTTTAAAATGGAGGAAAATGTATATGAATTGATATTGGGTTTTTTTTTGTCCTTCCTCTTAATCGTTGTACACATGATTACAGAAGAAAATGTTTCACATGAGTGAAAAATATCTGGTAAACGTTTCCTTTCATCATGTGTTGAATTGTTTACATGCTACCACAACAACGAGCGATAACAAATTTAGTCACGAAAACCAAATACTGTCCGGAGCCATTTAATATAACCATACTTTTTGTTTTTAAAATGAATATTTTACTGTATTTTGCACCTAAAAAGCGAATGAGTCTATAATAATGGATTTAAATTTCAACATTCCAAATCTTTTTTTTTTTTTTTTTTTACTTTATTTTTATCATTTATTCAGCTAAACATTATGATACTTTCACCGGCATATTAATGAAATATTTATCAAACATCGCCCCAATGACAGGTAAATATATATATTAATATACGAAAGATTTACATTTTAAGCCTGAACAAAAGCTAAGCATTACCAAGTGAATGTTTTGCCTGTATTCTATTAAGCGTGTGTCAAGCTATGATTAGATATATATTTATAGTGTCTCGCTGACAGATCAGTCAAACTATACACTGTGAAGTATTTTATGAACAGGTGTTCAACATACACTGCTCAATAGCTCTATAACATAGCCAAGCTCCTCCTGTAAACTTTAAATATGTAAAGTATTCAAACTATTGTGTATTACCTGTAACTGATCAGTGCTATCGGGATACACTAGAGAATAGATCGCGAATGAAGACACCGCGATTGTAATAATTACACAGCTAAAACACGATAACAACAACATATGTTGTTTTCAGTTAAATAATTTTGTTTATGAAAAAAATATTGGTGGATGCAAAAATGCGTTTATGCTGGTTACATCACTGACAGGGCCAGTGTATTTTATGTCACGTTATGGTATGTGGTAGTAAATACTTGTTAAATGTGATAAAACATATATTTCAAAATTGTTTTGTGTCACGCTAAGCCTTGTATTGTAATTAACACATCAGGTCAGGATTTCATCTTCTGATTATATTCGGCGATGGCGGCGATGGTATTTCATAAAATATTTATTTAAGTTTTTTATAACATTGGTTCATATCATTTTCCCCTAAAATGATGAAAAGGATATGTATATTACTGCCGGGGTTAAGGAGTAAATATTGTGTTATATATATATATTTACTTTTCACCGAATTAAGTTTATTTTACATTATGATATTTGCAATAAGATAATTTATTTACATTTGTTTTCTAGTAAATTTATATTTTTTTAAATTGAAATTTCAAATAATTTTGAATTGACGTATACAGTGAAGCATTTTGCAGCATATGAAGAAAGTAAAAAGTGAGTACGAGTACAACAGAGTAATTACTTACGTAAGATATGCTAATTACCTTTAATTAAAAATCGTTAATGATGATAAGAATATTTAAATAACAGACGTATTGTAAACAAACAATGAAAATATGGACCGTATATGATTATAAGCGATAAAGCCGCGACACCATGCACATTTTCATACCTAGGACATATACAAAAAACAAAACATAGCATTTAAATTGTTGACCTACCTGTATAATAATACAAGCACTATCAAGACAAGTGACAATGCCACAGCGCCCATGGTGTCAGGTAAGCAGATACAGCTCTGATGTTTAAGTAGATTTAAGGTGTCGAGGTGCAGGTACAGAGGTCCGTTAAGTGTTGCCGAGTATTCCTGGGTCTGCCTCTACCCCGCTGTTAAAGGGCGGTAGTATTGTCCTAACGTATACTATCACCGCTTAGCAGTTCAGTTAGTCAAAGGTCGTGTTCACGTGTGGAGGAGATAACGCGTGCGTTACATGTAATCAAACTGATGGAGGTGATGACCAATAATTGACCAGGAGTTTATAAAGAGATGACCACTAGTGGACACGTGTGCGTCTTTATCTGTGCAAAGTTTTTTTTTCTGTGAGCTGTTGTTGATTTGAATATCCTGATCTTGGTTTTTATAAATGTTGTGGAATTTTATCAGTTCATTAAACGGTGAGTTGAGTTATAATACAGTTCTATTCTTCCGGCAAGATGTTCTGTTCAAATGTCTTGTATTTCCTTTCTTCTCTTGAGAAGTTTCTATCATTCAGTAAATTAATTCGTTTCAGGTAGTATTTAAAATCCTCGGTACTGATAGGATGAACCCTTGTAGAGGATGATGTCCTTCCTTTAGGCTTTCCCCGGATGAGTCGTTCCACAGTTCCAAACACTTTCTTTCAAACTGTTGGTTTTTATCTCTCCACTTTCAATTGATCAATTTCTGGAAATTACAAACAAATTGCATGTGCTATTTCTTTTCATAAAATGCTGTAAAATGTCTTAAGTTTCTTGAGTCCATAAACTGTTTTAAAAACTAACTGCAAAAAATCAAAAGATTTTCAGATAAAATGCTGATCAAACTAGATAAAGTTAAATCCATCAAAATTCAAACAGAAACATTTGAAGATCTTGTGAGAATGCTTGTTGTTAAGTATTTAACTTCTAAACAATTCACAACCTTCAGATATAAGACAGGTGTGGATAGTATGCAAGATAATATTAATATGCCACACTCTTGTCCAAGTTGGTGTATTTGAATGTTCTGTTTGGTTGTAAGTTTGAGGTATGTACTATAGAGTTTCTGATTGGTGAAGACCTGCCGGTGTTAATTGCCGTGTACCTAAACAGACATAGATAGTAGGCGGGTTATAACACAAAAACCAGGTAATCACTCGAAACACACAGGTAAGCTGTGCCGGTATACACTGGTTCTATTGTACACCAGGCCTTCGTGAGCTCCACTATTACTACTAGAACACATGTTTAACTTAAATTTTAAAATGTTTCTTTTTCTATATCAATGTTATTCACACCAATTGACAGAGGAATGTAGTGATTGTATAAGTACACAGGCACATATTTACCAATACACATTTTTCACTGTTCGGATTATTGATAGACAGCAATATTAAGTTTAAGTAACGTTTAATTGAGGTTGATATTTATTTTTCTATACCTTTTTCAACACAATGTTTACCGATATGTTTTTTATAGGCAAATATTGCATGACCTACCTGTGTAGTATTTCTCACTATCGCTGATATATATCTCTCCATTTTGTGCTTCAATGATAAATCCCTTTAAATCCCATTGACATTTCTGACAAATTTCCTCTATTCATGTTATGCATTTTCACGTTCGATGTGAAATATGTTGCCGAGCGGTGTTTTCTCATTATTCAAACCGGTGCAATGAAACATAAAGCGATTTTAGCGAACATTTTGTGCAATATCAAGGGGTTACGTATTGTCACAGCTTTTTTAGCCCACGTTACAATTGTTTTATTGTGAATCCATCAGAATTATTGATAATCTAAATTGGTTGTCGGCTTGAAATTGAACCATGACTTTATGAATCACTTTCTAAATTTCTTCTTTTTATAAAAAAAATACACATAGATAACCCTCTAGTGTGCACTTATTACATGAATGACATACGTGTGGAATAAATCGCTAAATCATATTAGTCATGCCTGAATGAATCTGAAAATACCTATCGTTTAATGGTAGAAGAAGATGCGGTTTCATTCACTTTCCCTACAGAATATCTACAAGTAAGACAATTTTTATCTAAATATGCCACGGAGACTTGGTAAAAACATGGCCGTTATATTTTTTCTCCAGACAACCCGACCTTCGATATCTGTTTTAACAGTCCCATTAAATCTGAACCGATCCTAACAGGAAGTTTTGTTTTATCCAAATGTTAAAAACATAGATTTTTGTTCTCCGATTTCGCAGTTCTTCGCCTGAATTTAATCCGAATTTTCGAAAAGCTCCTGAATATGCGACACGACGGTGGCACTAGCTCATCCAAAATGGAACAAGTCAGCAGATCTGACGGTATATTTCAAAAACATCACACATGAATATTTACATTTCATACAGAACCACTACATAGTGTTATCACGTAGAAGTGAGGTGTATTTTCCAGAAGGCGAATATTTATATTCTATTTCATCAGAATATAACAACTGGAAATTAACATAGCTGTTAGGAATTTGTCAAAAAACATTTTTCCAGACATTTTTAACATTCCCTTTGCCATATTCGAATTAATTAATTCAAGAGAATTCGTTTCAGAAAAATTTAAGTTCTAATAATACCTGTGCCAAAACATTCACACAAAATGTATTGTCACTTAATCCATGTAAACACAACTCTATATTTCCCACATAAATATTTCTCCGGCTTCCGTTAAATGAATCTGTTCCAAAATACCATACAATACAGTATTGATATTTTGCACGTGGATATATTTTTCTGTTAATCCAGAAATCCTATTTTTCACAAGACAAATAAACTTAATATATTTCACACCGTGTATATATAATAAGAGTTTGGAACAACATATGTTCCGATCAGGAAAGTCCTGTACTCTCCACAAGGAGAGACATGTTCCCGTCGCTACTGTTTCATGTCCCTCTCTATATTCTGATCTCGTTCCGAAGTGATATCATATCCTAGAAAGACCGTACCGATTTAATCAATACTATATGTGCTGGCCTTGAACTGTCTCCCCGACCATAGATTGATGTGTAATCGACAGGGAGCCCTGGGATTTCTCGGTTCAATAATTAATCTTAATTATGTAAAAAAAAACATCCCTGTCTCGACAAATGAATAATTTCTAATCTCTGTATCATTTTGAATTCTTATAAATATTTTCTGAAAGAAATACCAAAATTGTTATAGATCTATTTTCCTATTTTGATAAATCATGTTAAGATGCTAATGCTGAAATACCTCGCGTTGATCTGATTCCGGGAAGGCAGGACTGGTCGTGCCGTCTGGTGGTCAGTGATAATGGCTTTAAGCTATGGTACTCGTGACGTCTATTGACCAGTAACTAGCCCCTAGGTACCCGTCCTAGCCCTGCAAAAACACAAAATACAGACTTGATGTTAATGTCAAAATTCCCTGAAGACAAAACATGAGAATATAGACAAATATATTGTAGGTCATATATAAGTGTGTTTATGTAAAATATATTTTCTAGTTCATGTACGTAAACATGGCGTTCATTTGTTAGGTTACTATATTGACAATCCTTGTAAGGGCGGATAGTGACTAGCATTAATGCGTACACTTAATGCCTTAAATCGCATGTGTACAGCATTTGATCATTAGACATCGAATTACTTTTATGTACACAGTACTTGATTTTATGACAACAATCATTGCATTTTCATAACTATATTTACCAGTAAAGTGTGCTTGCAGTATAAACGTGGGCACATGTTGGATTTATTTTCGTTTGTTTTGACCTGGTAAGCGAATGAACGTTTAATAGGTTACATAATTTGATGAACTAGCGCATATTATTAGTGTTATTTTATCTATTTTAATGGGAAACCTATATTTACTAATTTAATGGATTAAAATTTAATAGACAAATGCATATTATTTAATGAAGTATATCTGTTTTAATGGGATACCTGAATTTACTCATTTAAAGGATTAAAATTTAATAGACATATGCATATAATTTAATGAAGTAGTATGTCTTAATGGGATACCTATTTTTACTCATTTAATGGGTTATAGTTTAATGAACTGATATATGTAATTTAATGGAATTATGTATGTTTTAATGATAAACTTATTTACTCATTTGATTTGTTCATAATTTAATGGACTGGTGTGGGTTATTTAATTGGGTATTATCTGTTGCAAAAGGATAAGAAAACGATTATCTAATGGGTTAGTAGTGTATAATGTTTGTCTCTGAAGATCAGAAAAAGACAATTACTTTGGTCAGCATTCTTGTTAGGACTGCTGGGCCCTAACGACCGTGGCGGGAACCATTTCTATAAACAGTCTATTGTCTATGTATCAATATTATCATACTGCAACACAAAAGGTCGATCACCATAAAACCTTGACCTTGACCACTGTTGCTATACATTTTGCATCCAAAGTGATAGAGTCTGTGTAACATTACAATTTATGGTCAAGATGACCAACTAAGGTTGGCCGAAATTATTGCACGTGAGAGATGATTTGTGAATGTTTACAGGTGCGATATCAATAAAGCCTTTCAAAAGACGAATGTTAAAAACAACAGGAACCGCTGAGGTATTAAAACATTGGGAATGACGGTATGGAAAAATGAGGGAAAAAACACAGACTGAGAGACCAGACATGTGAAAATGGAACGTTAATATTAAAAAAAACGAAACAGAGAGAACCACATTCTGGTCCTCCACACTGATCAGCATGAGACCTCATGTGTTTGTATATCCCGTCCCAAACCCAGGATTTTCTAAAGCGCATCACATTGAAACAACCTTACAAAAAACACCCAAAATGATAAGACATTGGACTAAAATCACTCCGCATGATAGTCCCTTTAACAACAAACACAACAATCAAAGCAGACTGTTCCAAGGCCGAGGTCAGAAGTCTGAAGAATATCGGGTTCCACCTCCAGCTCGTACACAGCGATTTTATCGTCTTGTGAGATACTCAATGCTGTTGTATATATCAACACTGAATATAAAGGGAAAGCTAAATTTACATAAAGGTTGACATGGTCGTAGATAGTTGAATT